CATTCTTCACAAGAATGCTCTCGACTCCAGTTAGCTGGGTTTTCCACGTATCTCCCACCTCTTGGCTAGAGCCCCAGGCTCTGGTCCCATCTCTAGCCAGGAGGAAAATGGAGGTGGCCACTCTTCCATGAGTGGTTCATGAGCATCTCAGTTGAATGCTCCAGTTTTACTGTAAACACCTGAATCACTCTTGTGTGCATCTGAATACACAAAGAAACAAAATCATGACCAACATCCCCCTGACAATTCTACGGATGTGAGAAACAAAATAGATGATAAAGTTGGCAAAAGCCATAAGTGACCTTGTTGGGAATGTCCCATTTTCTCTCTCCCCCTAGATTTCAGCCATACCCCCTGAAAATGCATGTCTCTCTGGGATTTTAAATGCCAGTCTCCTGCCCCAAACACTTTCCCTGGCCACCTCGTGCCCCTTCCCCTCATTCCCCCTGTTTCAGTGTAGGTGCCGCTCACTCTACAGAGCCTTCTCGGACCCCTTGCCTGGACCCTCACAGCTCTTTGTCTTTGCCAGCTAACAGTACTCATTGCACCTTTATTTATCTGCTTCTATGCCTGATTTTAAGCTTTAAGGACTATATCTGCAAATATCATCCAGGGTCCAGCCTATGATATTAGCTCAACTATTGACTAAGAGAATTAAAAAAAAAGAAAATGGAATAAACCTTGAAGACAGAGTGCTGCCACACCGGGAGAATGGGGTATCTGGCGTGTGGAAGTGACCTGGCCCAGCAACTGAAGGGGTGTGCAGGAGGTGGCAGCAGAGGGTCACGTGGAGGCCTACCTTTTTGGTCTTCACCGTGGAGGTGCAACAATCCCCACCATCGTAGTTGCAGAAGGCTCGGTTGTTGATGGCATCACAGTAATTGTCTCCCATGAAGGGCTATAAAGAGAGAGAGAAGCAGGAAGGTAACAAGGCCTTGTTAGCATCCTGGAATGTGAGGAAGCTGCCCCCAACACCCCATAGAGGCCTCTGAGTCATTTAGCTGGCTCTCATTGTCTCACAAACCTCTAGAGTCAGCCTACCTGGCTTCAAATCCCAACACCCCCTTAGATAAATTATCACCTCTATCATTTATAAAGACTTATGTAGCCAAATTTTTCCCCACTAGAGTATGGTTATGTCAAGAGACATACTTGTGTATGCTGGGATATGCTCAGCCACATATTAGATCACTTAAATCTTCCTGAAGGGGGCTTACTGAAAAATGGTAAGAGAATTTCAGCCCCCTTTCCCCCACTTTTCCTTGTAATAGGCAATTAAAGATATAATTTATAATAAAATATATAAGAAATATTAGGAAGCTGAATGTAATCTTCCCCAAAATTATAAAGATAAAATGCAAGCATTCATAGGATTAGGCACAATGGTCTGTGTACAATGGTGGCTCTCTCTAACAGAGGGGGACAGATGTACCCCATGTTGCCTGCTTTACATGCCTGTTTTCTTTTTTTGTTCTCCAACAACGTGTGAGGTTGGCATTGCTGTTTCCACTTTACAGACAAAGACCCTGAGATTCAGAGTAAGAACTGGACTTGGCCAAAATCACCCTGGCAGAATCAGAGGAGTGATTTAAATCTAAGTCAGCTCCATGGTTTTTTTCTTCATCACTCCAGGCTGTCCTAGCTTATACTGATTTATTTCTTTTCTGTGTTCCTCCAACCCTGCGATGCTCCAAAGATGATGAAAAGGTGACAGAGTTGAGTCATAACAGATCTGAACCCAGAGCCATCTTAGGGGAAAGTTCCGGAGTCTCCCCAACTCCCCGACCACTTGTATTTCCCCATCTTAGCACTTAGCATACCAGACTCTGCGGCCTGCTTATGTTTTTGTAGCTGGTGCAAGACGATGAGGTCCTCAGAAACACAGGCAATGTCAGGTTCATCTCTGTCTCCCAATCACCTAGTTTAATGCTGTGAACACCTTTGGTCCTTAGTAATGTTTTTGAAACAGAATGTAATTGTACTGGCATAACAGAAAGGGCAGTTGTCAGGGATTTAGAAAACCTGAGTTCTACTCCTCCAAATCTTAGCCAACAATATGGTTACATGGTGATTTTGGTTAAGTGACTTTTCTTCTCTGGGCCTCAGGATGCCCACTACTTAAAAAAAAAAAGAGGCTGGGATTAGTCCACTAATTTCTCAAAGAAATGAACCTATCCCTCCCTCCATCAAATGCAATATAATGTGACATCATAATATAGAAAGCAGATGAAAGTGAAACCACTCTGATTAGAGTGCTGGTTGGGGTCTGTAATGCTCAGTGACTCATTGGCCAGAAAGATGTGATCCTTTGCCTAAGATCATTGCATACCCAGCACACCACCTGTGATCCAATGGTCTCTCCTTCCCATCCTGACTGTTCTGTGGAAACCAAGTTCACAAGGAATCCATCCCATGTGGCATCCCTGGCATTTGCATTTCTGCTCCAAATTCTCATTCACAGAGAATTTGTGCCCCCAAATCATGATGCCAGATTCCATTTCATCACTACCCTGTCAAAGTCTGAAAGAGATGTTAGTAGATAGAGCTAAGAACAGGCAGGAGCTGAGCTCGGGTATGGGAGTCTGCATGAACATGCTGTGAATGCAGGCGTGCCTCTGCTGTGTGACTACCATAACCAACACATTATTACCTTCATAATAGAGCAGAGGGGCACAAACAACAAGCCACAAACCAAGGATAAGCCTTTTCCTTTGCTCTGTGCTGCAGAAGGTCAGCCTTGGGGCTAAGTTCTTTATGTTCTTCTCCATTAGTCTCTATAAACAGACTAATGAAGGAGACCAGTTGTCCCTTCCTAAGAATGAAAAGAACTGAGCTGGTAAAGGAGTAGCTGAAGAAGAAGAGAAAGAAAAGAAAAAAAAATAAATGAAGGGTTTATTATTATTATTATTATTTGGTCCCAGAAAAAAATCTTCAGTTTCATCACTGGCTACTCTCTCCTATGTGGCATTTTCTGCAGCCATAGACATTCATCCATCCATCCATCCATCCATCCATCCATCCATCCATCCATCCATCCATCCATCCATCCATCCATCCATCCATCCATCCATCCATCCATCCATCCATCCAT